TGCAAACTCGTTTGCTTCAATAGTATGCATGTGAGATGATAGGATAGAGATGAAGTGTGCACACCGGTGAAGTCGATGTAACTTCATTGGAAGTCGTCTCATATGGGCATCAGGAACTCGTCTGCTTCAATAGTATCCATGTGAGTTAATAGGATAGAGATATAGAATGTGCACACCGATGAAGTCGATGTATCTTCATCTGCCTATTGTACTAGATATATACCCTTCAAAGTCGTCTAATATGTTCACTACGATCATATCTGCTTCAACTGTATGCATGTCAGATGCTAGACTGCAGAGTGACAGTGTAAACATAGTCGACGTCGAAGTTTCCTGTTCTGCAAGCTGTGTGCCTTATACCTGCTTGAAAGTCGTCTCGTATGGTCATTGTAAACTTTTCTGCTTTAATAGTGTCCATGTGAGATGATAGGATAAAGAGATAAATCGTGCACAACGATGATGTCGATGTATCTTTATTTGCCTATTGAACTTGTTATATACCCTCCGAAGTCATCTCATACGGTCACTGCGATCGAATCTGCTTTAACTGTATGCATGTCAGATGCTAGACTGCAGAGTTACAGTGTTAACATGGTCGAAGTCGAAGATTCTTGTTCTGCAAACTGTATGCGTTATACATGCTTGGAAGTCGTCTCGTATGGTCATTGCGAACTTGTCTGCTTCGATAGTGTCCATGTGAGATGATAGGATAGGGAGATATAGAGTGCACAACTTGACGGCAGAGTTACAGTGTAAACAAAGTCGAAGTCGGAGTTTCATGTTGTGCAAGTTGTGTGCGTTTTACCCGCTTGAAAGTTGTCTCATATGGTCATCGAGAACTCGTCTGCTTCGATAGTATCGATGTGAGTTGATAGGATAGAGATATAGAGTGTGCACACCGATGAAGTCGATGTATCTTCATCTGCCTATCGTACTCGATATATACCCTTCAAAGACTTCTCATATTGTCACTACCATCATATATACGGCAACTGTATGCATGTCAGATGCTAGACTGCAGAGTGACAGTGGAAACATAGTCGACGTCGAAGTTTCTTGTTCTGCAAGCTGTGTGCGTTATACCTGCTTGATGGTCGTCTCGTATGGTCATTGCGAACTTGTCTGCTTCGATAGTGTCCATGTGAGATGATAGGATAGAAAGATATAGTGTGCACAACGATGAAAGTAGAAAAGCAAAGGGATACCAGAGCTGCTCTCTCGTACATGCTTTCTTACCTATGAGAGTGCAGAAATTTTGAACGTACAAAATGAGTACCCCTTGCTCTCCCATACATATGTTTCCTCACCTATGGAAGTTCTGATATTTCAATATGAGTACCCCTTGCTCTCTCATACATGTTTCCTTACCTATGAGAGTACACCTTGCTCTCTCATATATGTTTCCTTACCTATGAGAGTACTCCTTGCTTTCTCATACATGTTTCCTTACCTATGAGAGTACACCTTGCTCTCACATATATGTTTCCTTACCTATGAGAGTACCCCTTGCTCTCTCATACATGTTTCCTTACCTATGAGAATTCGAACATACAGTATAAGTACACCTTGCTCATATGTCTGGTTGCGCCACTGCGCTCCATTCGAAAGCAATTCCTTGTGCATTCATTTAGTAATATAATTATTACGGTTTTGTTTATTTTGTTCTGCCGAGACTGAAAACGACTCAATTAGCATAACCATTGAACACGATTCTCGGTCAACGGACCTCGAAGCGACGAGTTCAGTAGGATACCAGAACTAATAACTGTTCATGAAAATGCACTACTTGGATATGGATGTATGTTGAGTTTATAGATTTCTGTGGGTCACTAAAATCTAGGTACTGCCGTTATTTAGACTCCAGTTTTTTATTCAATATACTATAAATGCATTTCGAAATCGCATTGCAACTTCACTTACAATTGAAGTAACCTCTAGGGGTGAGCCACAATATACTCATCTGGGGTCGCAGTGGAGGGGAGGTGTTCGCCCCACTCACATGGAACCTAACCTAACCTAACCTACAGTTGAAGTGCATTGAAGATACCTACCATGGGTAAGCCAATTATTGATTTTTTTATAGTGTAGCGATCAGTTTTTGCTAATTTTTGGTATTGAAATATTCGCAACGAGTATGAAATATTGAACTATAAACTTGCTTTGGATGGAAAAGTGGTATTTATTCATTGGGTACCTCTATTGTCTGTTCAAAAAGAATAAAAAACTCTTAGGGATCGTGAATAACTGTTTCCCTGTGTACTTGATTAGAAAGGAGAAGTGGTATTCAATTTTCGGGTGTACAAAAATAACGTATTTTCACTGCAGTAAATATTGTATTTCAGTAGATGAATTTTTGGCATTGAAATATTTAATTGACAAATGTATTGATAGTTGAGACATGTTTAGGAGACGTCAATATATTCCAGTATGGGAACAAATTTCAAGCAAAAACTCGAACTCTTAGGGATCGTGAATAACTGTTTCCCTGTGTACTTGATTAGGAAGGAAAAGTGGTATTCAATTTTCGGGTGTACAAAAATAACGTATTTTCACTGCAGTAAATATTGTATTTCAGTAGGTGAATTTTTGGCATTGGAATATTTAATTGACAAATGTATTGATAGTTGAGACATGTTTAGGAGACGTCAATATATTCCAGTATGGGTACAAATTTCAAGCAAGAACTTAAAAATTCTTTTACAAAATGTAGCTCTCTGGAAAACTATCAAGCAAAAACTTTTGAGTTCACTACAGTCAATTTTTTATTTCAGAATTCACATATGAAGAAATGAGAGCCAGGATACCAGAATGATTGAAAGTATGTAGATTTTTTTCTCAACAAATATGCGGTACTTAGAAGACAATATTTTTTTAGAACAAGATGTTCTTCACGTTGGTGGGTGATCGGCACGAACTGGCGCCGGCCGAATACACTCGTTTCGGGAGGGAGGTACCTGTTATTCTACTGGGAACAGGGTCCATTCGTGTCGGTACTGGCCATCAGATGGTAAAGACACAGTAGAGAGCTTACAGAGGCAACAACAAGTTCTGTCGACGCGCAGTCGATGCGCACTGGGAAAAAAAAATCAAACGTCTGCCACGAAGATCAAAGGTCCCGACGCCAAGTGACCCTACTGCCTCTGTAAGCTCTCTACTGTGGTAAAGATTACCTTGACATTTATCAAGCGTATAATTATATCTCTTTGTATTTTTGCAGATTTTTCGTAAATTAAATTTGTTTCCTATAATAGGTAGTCGTATTTCTTTAGTAAGATACACCTATCCAAAATTGATAGTGTAAGTGTTTTTTTTTTGTATTGCAAATGACATATAATTTTGAAAATTGGCCATTTTGAATTTTACCTGTTATTTTCATGAAAAACACTCAAGTGCTAGTTCAAAATCAGTGTTTTTTTAATACTGCAAGTTTGAAACTTAGTTCCAGTGTTTTGTGTACACCAAGGGGGTTGTACGACTTTGCACTAGCCATATCTGAATAATTGTAGACCAAGCAGTACGTATATAGTTGTTTTATTGCATAAATGAAACACATCTTTAATAAATCTTTATTCTACATGTCTCTCAACAATGTGAAAAACAAGTTTCTTTATTTTCGAAATTTTTTTCAATGAATATAGGGCTAGTAGTAACATAACTATGCTAATAAGTAAGTAAATAACAGTTAGTATAATATGTAAATCAATATTTTGTTTGACTAGACCACTATTGTTCACCGGTTTAACATTATACAACTCTTTATAATCATTCGAATCACCTATGCTACTGTCTTGAAACACGACTCTTGATTTATACAGACTTGCGTTTGCTGGTATTTCAATCATGAAGGCTGACAAGTGTCCATCGTTCACTAATGTGGGACTCATACCTACATGAAATGAGTAGTATCAACATATATATCAGAATAACATAGTTGCAACCTAGAATCTTTCATCGTAATATTCTTGCAGGTCATAATATGCTCTTGGTAAGAGAAAATCCGCAACACTTCTTCTGAATTTTTTCAAACTCTCGAATGCTTTTAAATGCTGCGGCAGATGATTATAAATTGATTTATACAGACTTGCGTTTGCTGGTATTTTAATCATGAAGGCTGACAAGTGTCCATCGTTCACTAATGTGGGACTCATTCTCTGATATAGGTCAGGCCAGGTATCATTTTTTATTCCGTTTATATCGAATGAGATGAATACTTCTTTGGAATTATACGGTCGATGAATATAAAATATATTTTGACTTATGGTAGCCAAAATGATTAAGCAAGATCCCAATTCACCCATTTCTGATTATGAACTGTTGATTCTTTTTGGTTTATTCGACTATTTATGAGATTTTATAGATGGGGGTAAAATGAATAGATTGTCAGTTAAATATTTATTTGTCTATGAAACACTTAAGACTAATTCGTTTATATGAGGTCGCTGATGGTCCTTGTTGAAATCGTTTTCGATTCTGGAACACTGCTCGATTCCATTTTTCCATTTCTTTGGTGCTAATTTGAATACTGTGGAATTTCTTGATGAGCTCATACATGCTCATGGATCTTCTTAGTTCCTTCAAATTATCGATATGTTGGACAACAGCTGATGACATGTTTTCTATAGCCTCACTATAGTGAATGTCAATATTATTGTGGCAGTATCAATCAATCAATCAATCAATACTGTGCTTTATTGTCCAAGAATAATAATCCTTATTGACAGAGCATGGTTTACAATTATCGTAGTGGATTTCCACTGTGTCCAATACGAAGTTATATAATATTATGTATAATATTTATAAATAAAAATAAATAAATTCAACATTTAGGTACGGTAAAATACAAATAGGTACATAATGTAAATTCAACACACACGAATAAAAAAAAGTTACATCATAATAATCTTGCTGAAATACCTACATGAAATGAGTAGTATCAACATATATATCAGAATAACATAGTTGCAACCTAGAATCTTTCATCGTAATATTCTTGCAGGTCAAAATATGCTCTTGGAAAGAGAAAATCCGCAACACTTTTTCTGAATTTTTTCAAACTTTCGAATGCTTTTAAATGCTGCGGCAGATGATTATAAATTTTTCTGCTTTCATAAATCACAGAATTTTTGGTGAGCGTTGTCTTTGGTATTGGTAGTTTAATATTATTTTTATTCCTTGTATGTACATTTATATCACGAGAGATTCCACTCATCAGAGGCTGATTTTTGTGCATCAAACAAACAGTTTCCAATATAAATAGGCACGTAAGTGTCAACATTTTAGAATTAATGAAAAGAGGTCTGCAATGGTCACTAGATCTTGCTTTACAAAGGTATCTCACTGCTCTTTTCTGTAGAACAAGTACCGTGGACAGTAAATGTTGGCTACAAAAGCCCCAGAATACTATACCATATCTAATATGAGATTCTATGAGGGAAAAATAAGTATTTCTAGCAATATCAGAACCAAGCTCATTTGACACAATTCTGACAGCATAGCAACCTGACGCTAGCTTTTTTCTTAGTGACAAAATATGTTCATCAAATCTCAATTTGTTGTCAATGTGCAAACCCAAGAATTTAGTACTCGATTTGTTTTCAACGCGATGTGAACCAAGCGTGAGATTGTCAAATTCGAACTTGAAAGTTATAATATTCGTTTTGTTGGTGTTGAAGCAGGGAGAGTTTGAATTGCACCAAGATTTGACCATGTTTAAGTCGTGTGAAATTACTTCTTTGAGCGTATCTATATTTTTCCCATGCCATATAAGAGTGGTGTCGTCTGCAAATAGTGTGAATTTTCCTGTTATGTTCAAGTAAGCTAGATCATTTAGATACAATAAAAATAAAATCGGGCCCAGCACTGAACCCTGAGGAACCCCTGATTTGATATTTGACCGACTTGAGCATTCATTATATATCTTGACAATTTGTTTTCTGCCAAGTAAATTAGATTCAAACCACTCCAAAGGAACCCCTTTGAATCCATAATGATACAACTTTCTCAGCAGTACTCTGTGATCCACACAGTCGAAAGCCTTCGAAAAATCACAGAACACCGCTGCAGCTACCTTAGTTTCGTTATCTATTATCTATTTATCCAGAAATGAAGGTCTCTAGAGTTCCTCACCGAACACATTACAGAATCATTTTCATGAAAAAACACAGAGGAGTGTCTGCCTTGAATTTTATTGTATCCATTACATTATCAAAATCCTCGATATTGATTATAGTTGGTTTAGTTGTCGACATGAATAATGTTTTGAGAAATTCAAGCTTTTGATGTCCACGAACGTACACAATATCCACATCTTTGAAATGACCAAGTGAAATATTATGCAATTCACTGTACTCTATC